TTACTCTATTTATTTTTGAGCATCATGATTTTTGTTCTAAATATTTATCACATTTGTTTTATCATCAGCTTGATTTATATTATCTTTTTTTCACTTACTTATTTCTCTTATTTCTAATTATATTCTGTACTGTGCTTGGTAATGACTGACTCAAATCAATGAAATAGAATTTACTTGAACAAATCAGAAAAGAAAAGAAAAGAATAAAATTGAATTAATACAAAAAGATTGAAGTATGAGTTATTATTATGATTTTATTTACGAAATAAAAGAAGAGTTATGCTTCAATCTACTATTTAAAAAGAAGTTCAGAAGAAAGAAAAATATTCAAAGATAACATGGGAAAAACACATGGAGGATTAACTCGTGCTGGAAAAGTAAGAAACCAAACCAAGAAGGTTGAGCAGATTGACACTGGTGTCAAGAAAAGACCAAGTGGAAGAGCACGTATAAGAGAGGCATTTAACAACAGACAAGAGTTACTCTCTGGAGAAAGAAGATTCAAATTTAATCCTCAGAATTAATTGAGAAATCTTTCTTTAATTTGTATTATGTTTATTTTGTTTTATATTTATATCCTTTTTCAAATCAGGAAATACAATAAATTTTAATGCCATGGATAATGTGTAAAACCTTTGTGTATTTTAAAGAAAAACAAACATGTCATAGAAATTCAATGTCATACAATAAAAGAATGAATGCCAATAGCAATAAATGGCATAACAATAAGAATAATAATGATAAGCGAAATACCAAGGAAAAAGGATTAGAAGATGAAAGATACAAATAAAAACAAATAAGAAATAAGGTAAATGCAATAATAATAAAGATTATACAAATAACAAATATAAATGACTAACAATAAATTGAGATACAAGAAAGAATAAAAAGAATAAGAAATGAATGGAAAAAGGAGAATATGAAGAAATACTCAAAAAGTAAGAAGGTAAGAGAAAAATATGGTATGATAATCAACAAGAAATATACTCAATCAACAAGAAAAGATAATTGAAAAAATTAAAGAAGAAATTAAAAAAAAAACAAAAGAATTTGAAGAAAAAGACATTAAAATAATTGAAGAATAAATTAAAAACAAAACCCAATTAAAGAAATGAATGATAAATGTAAAATTGCAAGAATAATAAATAACAAACAAAATACAAGAAGAAATACAACAAAATAAAGAAATAGAATTTTAATTGAAGTGTTGTATTGTTTTGCAATTAATTGGTTAAATAAGAAATTATATAATAAATTAAGAAAAGAAGCAATTGAAAATATAATAAAAGTAATAAATATCAATGTCAATAATGAAAAGGAATATATTAAATATATTAAAATGTCACATAAAATAAAAGAAAATACTAAACAATACATTAAAGTGAAAGTAAATGATATAATAGAATGAAGAGTAGAGTGTAATTCAATAATAAAAACAACATATTAAAGAATAACTCTATTGAAATTGATGAAGAATATCTTAACACTCTCATCAATAAAGTTAAA